GGCTGAGGGGGGATCTTGTGGCCTGTTATAAACTGGTTAGGGGGGATCAGCAGGCGCTGGGGGAGTCCCTGTTCCCCCGAGCGCCGCAAGGAGTGACCAGGAACAATGGTCACAAGCTGGCGGAGGGAAGGTTTAAGTTGGACATCAGGAGGCGCTACTTCATGGTCAGGGCGGCTAGAGTCTGGAACCAGCTTCCAAGTGAGGTGGTGCAGGCTCCCACCCTGGGGGTTTTTAAGAGGAGGTTGGATGACCACCTCACTGGGGTCATTTGACCCCAGTGCTCTTCCTGCCATGGCAGGGGGTCAGACTAGATGATCTGCTCAGGTCCCTTCCGACCCTAGAAACTATGAAACTATGAAATTCATTCCATAACATTAGTTGTGTTTTTATTTATCTAATTTTTAAGTTTACTTTTACTGTTTCTATGTAATGTAAGTAATTAAATCAATAAAAATGGTTCAGTATCTACCAGGTCCCTACCGTACTTCAGACCTTGAGAAAAAGCTATATCAACATTATTCCATAGCACAGTAAAAAGAACTCAGAAATTAGGTTCAGTTTTCAGTCAGCCATTACTAATGTCTTGTTTAGCCTGTCATTGTTTCTAACAGTTTCTGTCCTGATAAGTGTTGTCCAAAGTCCTGCTTTGAGCTGGTGGATTTACCCACAACTGGTTAGACCAAAGCATCTGTGCGTGCAACCTAACAAACATTGGCATTGTATTGCTTTAAATAAAAGTTGAAAAATGTGTGCTCTCTTATATAATAAAGGTGGCCAAGAACACCTCCTTTAACCAGCCAGCATTTACACTTTGTAGAGAGCAGTTCTAATTAGAAACGCAAAAAGGTTTCAAATAGGTAAGGTGTTTAGTATGGTTAATAGTAGGCCTGTGCAAGTAGACAGCTTTCAGTCCCGCATCGGATCCAGCGGCTTCGGCTGCCAGCGATCTGATCCGGAGCTCTGGACTGGGTTCCCGCTTCGATCCGGCCAAAGTGGCTCCGAAGCTTTGGAGCCACCTCAGAGATCCAGCCATAGGGTATAATGGGGAATCAATGAAATATCTATAACTTGTTGGCTTTTGTCTGCTTCGGATGAAACTTGCCGGGGTGGTAGTCTCTGCTGAGAGCATGAAGCCTGCCAAGGTTCAAGAAGATCGGTGCACGGGTTCGGGGGGGAACTGTACCTCAAGCTGCGGACAAGCAAAACTCGTGACATGGGTGACACTGTATGTGTTAAGGCGCAGCAGAGTGAAAGCTGCATAGATGGTAGCCCCTGCTGCAGCCATGAAGCCTGCCAGCTGTCAAGGAGATAGGCGCAGGGCTTCTGGGTTCTGGGGCCCTGCACCTCTAGCTGCTGACAGGCAAAATTCATGACATGGGTGCTTGTACAACTGTGTCTGTCTTGGGGCATTGGGAGTGGGGGGACTACTGCAGGCCTGGCTGCTAAGCTACTGTGTTACCAGTTACCAGTGAATCATGATTCACTCAAGGACCAGCTCAATAAACAGTACCTAGCTACTACATAACAAGCGTGGATTAACATCTACAAAACCACAGACTAAGGAGAGGAAATAATCAATACACACAATCAACTGCCCCAAGACGGAGACAGTCAGTTGCACAAGCACCCATGTCACAAGTTTTGTCTATCAGCAGCTAGGGGTGCAGGGCCCCAGAACCCCCCTGCACCTATCTCCTTGACAGCTGGCAGGCTTCGTGGCCTCAGCAGGGGCTAGCAGGCCTGCAGCTTTCACCCCACTGCACCTTAACACACACACTGTCACCCATGTCACAAGTTTTGCCTGTCACCAGCTTGAGGTGCAGTTCTCCCCAAACCCCTGTACCTATCTTCCTGAAACTTTGCAGGCTTTGTGGCCTCACCGGGGCTACCACCCCTGCAGTTTTCACCCCCCGTGATGTAACACACAGATATGACATGAGTTTTGGTTTCAAGAATTTGGGGTGCAGTTCTCCCTGAACCCCTGCACCGATCCTTTTGAAACTTGGCAGGCTTCATGCTCTCAGCAGAGGCTACCATCCCTTCAGGTTTCAGCCAAATCGGACAAAAACAAAGTTCTAGATATTTAATTGATTTGCCCATTATACCCTATGGCTGGATCTCCGAAGCAGCTCTGAAACGGTTCAAAAAGCCTAACAAAGCCAGTGCTTCGATCTGGATGTGCTGCTTTGGACACCAAAGTGTCCAAAGCTTCTTCGGATCTGAAGCACGGTCTGAAGGCTCACACAGCCCTAGTTAATAGGTGTGTATGGTTAATAGGTGTTTACTGATATAAATGAATGTGGCCAAGATGTGCAGTCTTTGGTGCTTGTCTGTTTCTGCTGTTTTTAAGATGATATAGTAATAATCATTTTCACCCAGAGACCTTAGGGGATGGAAAAACTGGTCTGATAACCTTAGTGAAAACTCTTTGAGCAACAGAGACTAAATACTTTTACCTTTCCCTGACACAGTACCCCTTTCCAGGAGGACCTTTGGAATTTCCTGTCTTCTTTATTACATGGGACGCCAGGGAATAAATGCTTTCTAGAGTCTATAAATAAATGAGTATGTGTAGAGAAGAATAAATGGATTAGGATTTTTTAAAAGTTCAACTAGCTACAACTTTGTATTGAAATGTCTTGTAACACTGTCTCTGTTTAACATATTGAATTTCTGATAGTTTGGGATACATTTTCAGCTTTACGTCCTTTCCTCTGCTTTTTTTTTTTTTTTTTGGGGGACATTCAGTACGTTACTAAGTGTTTTTTTTCAAAAGACTG